AAGTCACTGTGGTCTTAATTTCATTTTCCCTGGTGGTTAGTGTGCTTAGCATTTTAACCTGAGCTCATAGGCCACTTCACTCTTGTGAAGTATCTGTTCAAATATTTTGCCCATTGTTAAAACAGAAGTTACTTTCTTACTGAATTGTAATAACTTTATGTGTCAGCATACAAGCCCTTTGTTAAATACATGTTCCAAGTACTTTCTCATAGTCTAACTTCTTTTCTTGATTATTTTTGTGTATATGTTTGCTGAAAGGAAGTTTTCCATTTTGAGGAAATCAATTTTATGTAAGTTTTTCTTTTCTGGTTTGTGCTTTTGTTGTTTGCCGAATACTATGTCAAAAATACAAAATACTTTTGTTGTTTTCTAGAAGATTAAAGTTTTGGATCCTTTATTTCGATTTTATGATTCAATTCATGTTCTTGTATGCTGTGAAGTGATGGTATAGGCATTCTTTTTTATTTCCTTATAAGTATGCAGTTGTTTCAGAACCATTTGTTGAAGACTATCTTTTCCTCCTTTTGAATTATTTTGATAGATTTGTTGAAGATCAATTAACCATATAAATCTGTGTGGCTTTTTTTTTTTTTTTTTTGGGGTCTGTGTTCCATTTCAATGACCTATATGTATGTCTTGACACTGCTGTTACACTGTTTTGACTGCTGTAGCTTTATATTATTTGATTCAGGTAGTGAAAGTCTTCTACCTGGTCAAAATGATGTTGATTCTATTTAGATGCTTTAAGCTTCTGTGTCTTTCAGGCACTTGCTTAGGTCCTTTGTCTTTCCACATAAAATTTAAAAATCAGGTGGTCCTCTTTTGCAAAAGGTCTTGTTAGAATTTTGATTGGGATTACATTGAATTTGTAGCTCTATTTGAGGAGATGTGTCATTTCAGTAGCCTGTCCAATCTTTGTGTATAGCATATCTCTCCGTTTAAGTTATTTTTAATTTCTTTCATCAAAGTTCTATAGTTTTCTTTTTAAGATTTATTTTTTATTTGTGCATAGAAGAACTGGGGTGTAGGCCAGAGGTGCAGAGTGTGGGAGGATTCACCAGAAACAAGAGTGGGGAGCAGAACATGTGGATATACTGAAATACTCTACGAAGGGGATCAGCCAACGAGACAGGAGAGGTCTGCTGCGCCATGTGGCCTAGGTCTCTGGCTGGGGACGGAACTCCTGGTGCAGTGGTTGGTGATAGTTTGATAGGGCTGAGACTTTAACCTTGTGCCACGAGGAAGGCCTAGTTTTTTTTGTATGTGTCATGCTCATCTTGTGTTACATTTTATTCTTAAGCATTTTTATGTGATTATAAATTGATTTTTAAAAATCTTTCTTCTAATTGTTCTTTGCTAACATATACAAATAGTTGACTTTTATGTATTGACCTTGAATCCTTTGATCTTAGTGAAGTCCCATTTTCTCCTAGCTACTTTATGGGTTCCTTAGAGTTTTCTAAGATGATGATGTATATCATGTACTTTTTTAAGTTTTTTTTTTTTTAAATAGTCTAATTTTTTTTTTAAGATTCATGTATTTATTTATACAAGCACTGGGTACAGTCAGAAGCACGGAAGGGTGAGAGAATTTACCAGAGCCAGAGCAGGGAACAGAACAGGCAGAATGACGAAGTACACTGCTGAGGGGAGCAGTGGGCGGCAGGAGAGGTCTGCGCCCCATGTGGGACCCTCACCAGCAGCCGGGGATCGAACCGGCACTGCAGAGGCTATGGGCAGCTTCGCAACCCAGCGCTCAACTGCTGCGCCACCAGCGGAGGCCCAAGGTTGTTTTTTTTTTTTTTTTTTTTTTTTTTTTTTTTTTATCTCTTTAATTTGGAAATTTAATGAAACTGATGGCCATTTGTTCACTTTTATTGGACTGTAAATTCCACAGGGTTAGTGATACTTGGTTATTTTCTGGTCTATCTGCAACACTTAGGACTCAACTCAGCATTTGGAAGCAGTTGTTAAATATTTGTCAAATATGGAAATGATACATGCCTGACACACAAAACCTAGGCAATAATCATAATTGGTTACCCTGTGCTCATAGAACTTGGAATGATCATTTCACTGACATTTCAAATGTTTCCTTTTGAACTTTACTTGTATTCTCTTGTACCTAGGTCCTCCTAGGTACAAATACTAGTCTACCTAGTATTTCTATTTCCATAATTTTAAAATAAATACTTGATCTCATAGTTTTTTTGTTCTCTAACTTATCCTTTATTTTATGACTTCTGCCTACCTCGAACCTCTTAAAACTCTTTTTTTTTTGAGAGTCCTGAAGCCCTGGGTGGCTTTATCAGGCTTTTTTTTTTTATATAGAGGCATGCTTTTATTTTTATTTTGTTTTGTTTTTTGTTTTGCTTGGTTGGTTGGTTATACATGCACTGGGTACAGTCAGAAGTGCGGGAAGGTGAGAGAATTCACCAGAGTCAGAGCGGGGAGCAGAGCAGGCAGAAGGACCGAAGTACACTGCTGAGGGGAGCAGCGGGCGGCAGGAGAGGTCTGCGCGCCACGTGGGACCCTCCTCCTGTGGCCTGGGAGCAGCCGGGGATCGAACCGGCGATGCAGAGGCTGCGGGCAGCTTCGCAACCCAGCGCTCAACCGCTGCACCACCGGGGAGGCCCCCTCTTAAAACTCTTTTAATAGTTTTTGCTATAGTGGCTGAGGTCCCTCTTCTATTAACAATACATTTTTTGCAATCTCAACATTTTTTTTTTTTTTTAAATAACCCTCACTAAAACCTGACTTTGTCTATATGACATATTAAACTGGCAACCCTTCTACATGGAAATTAATCATCTTTTCCCTCTCTTGCAACTTAGGGACCAAGGTGGGAAGTCAGTATTTGTGGACTCCACTCTTTTCCAGACTGTTGTTTGACTAACTTTAAAATAGTTTTTCGTTTGCTATCCATACATTATCTTAGCTCTGTCTTTTTCTCGGCCAAATACTGATCTCTGGAATATTCCTCAGTAGTCATTGAGGATCTTGACTTCTGGCTTAACTTTTTTCTGTTCTATATCCCTAGCCATTGTTCTTAATGACGATAGCATCCATGTTGTTGATCCATCCAAATGCTTAGCCTTATAGTTTATTTTGTCTCCAGTCTGGCATTCTCTTTATTTCACTTCAGCAGTCCTACACTAAGCCATCTCTCTTATAATTTATCACTTCAATTACAAATTTTTTTCATCTATGCTTATTGAAGATATTGAACTCTTGTACTCCGCCCCCCCCCCCGCCCCCATCCAGTCTATTTGCCCAATTCCCTTGCCTCTCATTCAGTTTGGAAATTGCTTGTGTACTATACAACTGTGTTCTCACTTGTAACTAAGCAGAGGCTACTGGATATGAATTCTTTTAGCTTCTCACTATTTGGAAATTTCTGTATCTTCATTCTCTCCTCTTTGTTTTATAAAGACAAACTTTTTCCCTTTCCTTCCAAAGTGAACAATGCTCTTAATCCCCTAAAAGGAAAAAATGTCCCTTTGTTTCCTGTAGAGTCTTATTACTTTGGCAATTATTTCTTCACCTATATCTTTAATTTCTCTACTACAGATTCTTATTTTGCCCTATGGTTCTGTTGTATTTCTCTTATGTCGCCTTTATGATGCCAGTGAAAATTAATTTACTTTCTTTGTATTTTGTACTTCTGAGACTTACTTTCTTTTGCTTTGTTGTGACACATCATGAATACTCAAAGCTTTCTAATCAAAAGAGACACTACTTTGTTCCTAAGATCCACTGTTGCTGGCATTTGTATGTGAACATCTCAGAAAATCTTGGGCCTTATGGTTTCATTCATCTAATATTCTCCAATCATTTTACACATTTATACTTCTAATCCAGGTTTTTGGTTGGCTCACTTAATTTACCAACAAATACTTGTTGAATTTGGGTAACTGAGACATACTAATAAATGGAAAACTGTAAATGTTGTTTTGCATCTAAACTAAATTACAATATTAGAGGTTAATGTTTGAAAAATTTATAGAAAGGAAGAGGTTGAGGGCCCAACATGTCAAACTAATAAGTGAAAAATCTTCTCATGAGGATAGTTATTTGGTCACGACCTGTGATCTTCTGCATCTTAAGGCTCTAGCTCTATCATTCCCTTGGAAGAGTATGTGTTCATTCAGGGATGAAAGCTCATAATCTATCTTAAAGAGTACAACAAGGTGTCCTGTACACTAGATACAAGGTATCTTTGTATCTAATACAAGGTGTCCTATATTAGATAGTTCACTTTTAAAGCATGAATTTAAAATCAGTAAAATTACAGCTTAATAAAGGGGGGAGGGTACTTGCTTGGGTGTTAGAAGATCTGGATCCTTTCTTAATTTGACTATTTGATGACAGCCAAATAATATATGACTGAGCCTAACTTTACTGAACCTCAGTCTCTGTGAAATTGGAATGATGAAGATGACTACTTGCTTTCATATAATTACTATGAGAATTTCTTTCTGTAATTAAAATTGATCAACCTTTATGAAATTCTTGTTAAACCATAGACATGGTAGACATTAAGGACACATTTAGGAGCTCATAACCTAGTGGAGTGAAATTAATTTAGCAGTGTATCTGAAAACATTTTGTTAATTATACAATAATGTATGGCTGTAAGATAGCTTCTCTTAAACTGCACTATTTCCTGATGCTTTAGTGACACATTATATACTCTTCCACCAAAGGCCATTTGCTCATGCTGTTTCCTAAGTTTATAAAAATCCTACCCATCAGATTCTTATCTCCATGCAGTATCTGTCATCCCCCATCCCTCTCAGACTTGATTTCTAAACTTTTTCATGCCTTAGTGTGTAGATTTTTACATTGTAAAAGCAGAAATTTATATTACATTTTAGTTATATGTGAACACAGCTTAGCTGACTGGTGGTAATACAGGTATTCCATAAAGTGATTGTCTAATTCAGTGAAGTATATGATCAGTGGATTCTTAGTATCTTTTGTTGACTTGTGACTTTTAGGTTAAAGCTTCAACAACATATTGTGAATACTGAAAATGCAGAGAAAGAAAAAAATGAAAATTCTGACCTGAAACAGGTATGATTATAATAATCATTTCCCTTTTAGTTTTTCAAGTGCTGCTTTAAATCTGTGTTTTGAATCTCAATCAGAATTTGATATATCAGTATTCTGAAAATTTGATACTACTGTTAACATCAATGAGGATGACATGTAAAGATTAAATATTTTAACTTACAAGTTCTAGTTTAGTAACTAGCTTCTTTTGCTAGTTGCTGTTTTTCTTTAGGGTGTGTGTGTGTATTTATTTGCTGTGGCCCATTATTAATAATTTAAAAATTATAGTTAAAGGACAATATTTTCATATGATGAATTTTAAAAAATAATAGAAATGTCATCAGGTTTTAAGTTACAGTAGTGATTGACTTGTATTTAACATTTCTTATCCCTTGAGGTATTATGTCCCTGTGAAATCTAAGAGTGGTGTTTATGGAAGGAAATTTTATTGAAGTTATTTGGATTCAGGAAAGATTTCTATAGGCAAAACATGGAAGTTATTTTCCTAAATTCTGTTTTCTTAATGCTTTTCCCCCTTAGAATTATGAAGTATGAAGATTCCGGTTTTAGCATTTATTTATTGAGATTCAAGCATTTATGCTTACATGCTAGCTAGTATTTCCTTGCATGTACAGTCATGCTTTCTAAGTCTTAACTGGAAAGGCATAATGAGTGACAGTCTGAGAGAAGTTATCCGTTATCTCTGGCATGGAGCTTTCTGTCATCCTTTAGCTATGGAGAACTATTAAGTTCTTTGATGGCTGCTTACTCAATCAGTTATAATAACAGATATAATATTTATAACTCCAGTTAAAAATGAAGAATAAATTCTTCATGGATAAATTCATTCTAAAATGAAAATACAAGTCCATTTTACTTTATTCTGTTGACAATAGCTCTATGGACATACACAGTCCTGACTTATTTGACTTTACTACTACCATCAGGAAGCAATGGAATTATTTCCCATTTTTATAATTTATTGCTTTAAGAAATTTGGTTTCTCTTGACTCTGGAGTACCCCTGAGTCTTTTGACTGTCTTTGCTTCCAAATTTCTCTCAGCGGATGGCTAAAAAAGGTAAAAGAAAGCGAAAGAAAAAATGAGGACTTGTTCATTAAATGGTGAAATGAATTGTGGAGGAAGTGTAGGTATCGTCCCAAATGAAGATTATTAGACTCTAATTTAAAAGCAGTAGGAATCTTCCTACCCTGTTAATCTGTAAATAAATAACTAGTTATCTGGAGAAAAAGTTACTCCCAAATAAAGGTAAATAGGGTTGGAGAAAGACCCTGAGTGACTTTTCATGGTTTGATAAATGACTCCAGAGGCCAAAGAATCCCTACTATTCATTAGGTTTCTCAGAGCATCTTACTTCTGCCTAACACTGTATATGTAGAATGCTGAGATAACTTTTTAAAACATTGTGAGAGTGAGCCTATTTGTGATTCCTGGCTATTCAGAGAGCAGAACTCCTGGGAAGGTCGCTGATCACCGGATATATGAGAAAGGAGAACGAATTTCCTTATCCACTTCCCCAGCTAGCCTGCTTTGAAAATTTATCATTTTCTAGTAGGCTAGAAGAAGTCTTATACAATACTCCCAGTAGTTGGATCCTCCTTTCTTATCTTTCTATTGCCCTCCTAACAACCCTTTCCTGCATTTCCAATGCCCCTTCTGGCCTGCTCATTTTGGGAAGAAGAGAGAGGACTGAGTAGAAGATTGAGGAATGCGGTTCTTAATAATCTCAGGTTATATTAATAAATGATCCTTGCTGCTGCCATTTTCTATTTCATTCAGGGGCACTTCAGTTAACCACTTGGTGGGTATCTGTGAGTGAAGATGCTTAGTATTTTCTGCCTATCTCTCACTGTAAGACTGTGTATATTTAGTGGCCTTATGTATCTCTTCTTTTAAGCAAATCAGCAGTTTACAGATCCAGGTGACCTCTCTGGGACAGTCAGAGAATGAATTGCTGAATTCAAATCAAATGCTGAAGGAAATGATGGAGAGGTTAAAACAGGAATGCCGAAATTTAAGAAGCCAAGCTGAAAAAGCACAACTAGAAGTTGAAAAGTAAGAGTTTGCTCTTTTTATGCACCGACTTTTTCTTCTTTTTGCTATTTTATAAATAGCACACACACAAATTTATTTCTGATAATGATGATTCCATTGTTGGATGTGTTTTGGGAATGCTTTGGGGCACTGGTTACACATACCTGTTGACAGCGTACAATAGGTATTTTAGGTAGTGTCCTTTCGAAAAAGACATTAGGGGGAAACGCCTTTTAAAATCCTGCCTGATCACAGTATTCTGAAAACCCTTAAGGATTCTTTATTCACTTGGTAAATGAACACATTTCCATGTTATTTTTCTGAATGTTGGGGGACAGAAAAATTTTTTGATGTGCAAAAATTACTTCCCAGAGTTAGAACTATCTCCTGGTTTGGGTATTTTTTATTTTTTATTATTATTTTTTGTTTTGTTTTGTTTTGTTTTGTCCTTTTGTCCAGTACCAAATTTTCAATCTCTTAACTATCATTTTACAATGACTTAAAATTATTTGGGTAATGCACAAGCAAATGTACATTGTACAGTATTCAAGAATACGGAAATAAATAGAGTAGAATGTGAATGTTCCTCTTCATTAATCTTTTCATCTTGCTTTCTTTCTCATAGGTGAATACCATCAGTAGTTTGGAAATCATTCTTCCAGTCCCTTTTCAGTACATTGACATACACACACACACACACACACACACACACACCCTTGAGCACTTTAATATGAATTACTAGTCCTGGTTCAGATCATGACTGTCCTAGATTGTTGCAGTAACCCTCATTAGATCTTCCTGCTCTCAGCCTTATTCAGATCTATTTCTAAAATTTGTTATCACCCTGATTTAAACCCTCTGGTAGCATCACATACAGTGTGTGCTATAGATTAAATTCTACACCCCTTAACATACTAATTAAGGCCCAATAAGGCTCACTGGGTTTTCCTTTGAACAGTTTGTTTACATTTTTTGATCTTAAAATTCTCCATGATAGATAATATAGAAAACTTGTGGGAAAATGATTTTGGTGATGTTCATGATTTTATATTTCTTTAGGAAAGGTTAGTTAGATAAGGTAGAAAACTATAGTGTACTTGCTTTATCTTTGTAACATGTTAGTATGTTTTTTATTTGGATCTATAAAGTGTTGTCATATTGGTTCTTTTGTAGGCTGTCTTACCTTCAGTTTCTGTTATTTCATATTGTAAGGCTTGTTTATTGTTTCATATATGTTTGAATTTCAAGAAAAGGAAGTAAATAAGATATTTGTCCAAACATGTTGTGACATCCCACATGGTTCAAATTATTTTGCTTAAATTTTGTAAAAAATAGAAATTTGTATTTTAAAATCCTTAAGTGTTTTATTGAAATATACTTAAGAATTATAGTGACAGTGTAGCTAGCAAATTTAAGTAATCAATCATTGGTTTCTGTACATTATTCATAAGACTATATGGCAGAAAGTTAGCTGAACCCAGGGGTCAATAAAATGTTATTTTGGTCCTAGCTAAGACATTTAAATTTAAACTCGTAAAATTTAAGAATTAGTCTGACTTCTTGGGGCTTGTCATTCTCATAATACCTGTGGTAACAATACTGAAAATCACATAAAACATGCAGAAGAGCTTTATAGTTGTAAGTTATGATTTTGCCTTAAAGTACATTAATATGAATTTTACTCTAGCCAGAAAATATATACCCTTAAACTTAATACCTGAATTGACGTTTTAACTAACTTTATTAGGCCAAATTTTTATAACTTGGTAGGTATCATTGTTCAGAGCTGTTTATAAAGTGTTTGTCCTGCCCCTAACTAAGTGTACTATTGAATAAGTCTTTAGTTGAGTTAATTAACGCTCTAAGCCTTAGTTTCCTCATCTATATAAAATGAAGGTGATAGAAATACCTAGTAGAAGCAATTATTGTGAAGAGTAAATGATGTAGTATACATGTTGTTCTAAGCGTGGTTCCAGACCCACGAAAAGTACTCAATAGAGGTAGATTAGCAAATATGTGGCTATGCTAGAAGAATGCCTGCAGTTGGATAGTTTAGGATGTAGCGAGGCACTAGTGAGTTTGCCTATGTTGGTGATAATATCTATTTAATCCCCTTAACTTTTGTGTTTTGTGTACATCCTCTCCTGACAGGACACTGGAAGAGAAACAGATACAGTGGTTGGAAGAAAAACATAAGCTACATGAACGTATCACAGACAGAGAAGAAAAGTATAATCAAGCTAAAGAGAAATTGCAGCGAGCTGCAATTGCCCAGAAAAAGGCAAGTGGTTCTTATTAAAGTGATTTTCATAGAGTAAAACATAATTAACTATTTTAGGAGAATAAAATGTATAATTAACGCTGAGATTTTAATGGTACATTTAATTTGATATTTAAACATGATATTCTGCGTCAACATTGCAGAGATAAATTGGGAGAATCCAAACTGCTCAACAGGTTTATTCCTAAATTTTGTATACAAGTTGGTTTTTCAGAGCTAGCATACATTTTTCCAGTGTTTTTCCCAGTGAACCCCTACAAGTTTTACTTCACTCATTCTGCGTTTAATATAGGGTGTTTGGACCATTCCAACTATGCCTAATTAATACTTGTATCATTGTTTTGTGGTTAAAATATTGTTGCCTGCTCAGGAATATTGGAGCAAGTATCTTTTTGCGCTAGCAGAAGGAACTCAGAATCCTGACTTCTGAAATAACCGTGATAGTTCCCACATCCTTGATCCTTTCTAAGTTTCACCCTTGTGGCTTGTTTTCTCCAGAACCTAAAAACTTTTTGTTTTCCTGGAAATAGTCTAGGGCTACATTATTTAATCTCAATGTCCTACTACTGTTAGCATTATAGGAAGAAAAAAAGCAATATTCAGAAATCTTTTAAGGTTTACGGAAATAATGTCAGAGGATTCATCTCAGTCAGTGGTTTACAACTTTTTTACTACTTCAGCAAACCCAAGAAATGTAGCATGGCTTCCTCAGTAATCATGACTCACTGTGGCAGTGATTCAGCAGTTATTTTCAACAAGATTGTTATGTTGGTAGGGATAGGCAGTCAGGTAATATAAAAAAAAATTCCACAAATGATTTGATGTGTGTATTTGATATGTTCCTTTAGTGGTGGTATTGGTTGTGGAGAGGTGAAAAGGTATGAGCAGAAAGGAAGGTACTTCTGGACATAGGTACACTAATACCTTATCTGTATGTTACTGGAAAGATTAGCTCTTCGTGTTTGCATAAGAGATGGGAATTGTATATCATCTACATATTCTGAATTTGGAAACCAAGGACACAGTTCCTAGTCACCTACTTATGTTAGTAAGTTTAATTGCCAAATGTGTACTGATAGTTTGCATACGACAACACGAGTAGTCTGAAAATCATTACTTTGTCACTTAAAAGGTTTCTGAATATAGTTTTTTTCTTCCCATAATGCAAAAAGTAGTATGACACTGAGATTTAAAAACTGCATTTTGTTTATGGAAATCCCACTACTCAACTATAAATACTTGTATTGTTGTACTGTGTACATTATTTCTCTTTTTTTCTGTCCATATAAGTAACAGGCATTGTATGGGGTATTGATGGGATTTCAGTGAATTTTTTTATGGCTTGGGATGATGATCTCAGAACTCATACTTACGCTTCCTGGAACTATTTGAAACCTAGAAGCATTTGCAGCCAGACATTAGCTAGAAATCACTAAAATTTATAGGAGCTGATTTTATCTCAGAGAAACTTTCATTTAAAGTTTTAGAGATAAGTATCTAACACATCAGGTTCTAATCGCTGGGGTTAGTTTGGGATGACTGTTTTGGAGCAAAAGTGACATCCAGTGGTGAGAGAGATTATCAAGTAATCACAGGAACAAAAGAGGACAGGAGGTAATATTTTAATTTACCTGTTACTTTAATATTTCTGCATTGTTACTTTTAATTTTTTATTTCCTATTTTCTTTGATTCCAAGTACTACCACTTTCTTTTTAGTATCACCATGATCCACACAACATCCATATGAGTCTTAATTTCCTTTGATAGAATAATCATTACAAAATTAATTTCTTTAACTCAGACCATTTTCCCAGTCTAGTTAAAGATGATGCTTCTATGTGAAAATTTGGTTATAAGATTACATAAATATAATTCATACGGCTGCAACAGATTTTTAGGTTTTTTAAATGACTAAAATTACAACTTTCTCAAACAGGTAAACCTTAAAACTAGTCACAAAATATGAACTCTAGGGCAGAAATCATAATCCTTTAGAGTTTCTTTCCTGTGAGAGGTTCTTAAAACTGGGGAGTAGCAGCTGTATTTCCCCTTCCTCCTCCTCGGCTAGATTAAATGGCTCACTGCCATCTGAATGTTCATTTACAGTTGTAAGCTCCTAAGCAAAAATCTTACGTCATTTCTGGTAAGTGTTTTTAGATAGAGTCTTTGTGTAATGATATTTTGCTGTGCTGATTTATTAGGAAGAATTTGGCAAAGTATTTTGAGTTGAATTGTGATTGACGAGTTCTATGCATACTTACCTCCACACTGTTCAAGTGAGAGTATGAAGAGTGATCTCTTGTTGTGAGCACAGTGAGTTGTGCTTTTCCTTTGGAGTCCTTAAAATGACGACTTGTTATTTTTATTGTAAGGTATATCTTTCTGCAGTAATTCTTCACTAGATGTTCTTATGAATGTTTTCGAGACAGAAATAAACTGTAGTCTTGTAGTTGTAAGATATCTTGAATGTGTTGTATGATCTAGCATTCTGTTATAGAATGAGGGGAAAATAGGGACCATGATCAGTTCCTGCCTTTGGTGACTTACCCAGTTGGAGAAAGGATATTAACATGCAAAAGAATACTTAGACACACTAGCAGGTGATACATGGGACACTAAACTTTAAGTACTATGCCAGATGAAAGAAAGCCTAGAAAGAGGGAGACCAGTAAGGAGCTATTAGACTAAAATGAGGTAGGAAGTATGGAATTTGGGCTTGGGGTATAGAAATAAAAGTGAAGGGTAGCTCCCAGAAATACTCTGAAGGGGTAAAAAATACAGAATATGGTGATAAATAAAAAGATTTAAAATGGGAAGTAATTTAACTGTGAAAGGATGTAAGTGGAGTTGTTATAATGAGTATGGAGCAGGGTCAGTTGAGTAGTAGGAAGAGAACATTCGACTTAAACTTAACATGTCAGATAGCAGGTTATGGCAGTGGGTCCATATAGATGTATCCTAGACTATTAGTGAAGATACTGTGTGGATTAGTCTTACAACTTAGACATGTATAATTAGACACAAGATTTTAGATATGACAAGAATAAAAGGACTAAGAATTAAGTTGACTTGGGAAGAGGAGTCAGATTTAATGGAGGAATGGTCATGGAGGTAAAGTTACAGTGTGGGGCTGTAGATGCCAAAGGAGAAGAAAAATACCAAAGATAAATGGTCATTGAACATGATTCTTGAATTTGGCTAGAAGGTGATGAAGGGGGGATTTCCCAGCTTTGATTCCTGCATCAGTGTTTTGATTTTTTAATTTCTCTGTGACTCCTTGTGCTACAGTGTTTTTATTTGTAGTAACTTCAAAATGGAAACAACTTAGATTTACATCAGTAGGAAAATGAATGCCTCCCTGGTGGCCTAGGGGTTAAATCTCAGCACTATACCCACTATGGCCTGAGTTCAGTCCCTGGCCAGGGAGTTAACCCACATTGCAGGGCAGACCTCTCCTATTTTGCCCGCTGCTCCCCTCAGCAGTGTATTTCAGTAGATCCACCTGCCCTGCTTCCCATTCTGTTTCTGGTGAATCCTCTCACACCTTGCACTTGCGGCTTAAACCTTAGTTCTTTGGTGCAAAAACAAATTTCAAAAAAGATAAATGTATAAATTTTTTTTAAAGTAGGAAAATAGGTAAAATATGACATTTGTAACACAGATGACAAAGTAACAATGTAAAACAACTGTGACATGTAGTAACATGGCATAGTCCTATAGGTAAGATGTTGAACAAATCCATATACAGAAGAGTATATGCTGTATGATTTTCTTTGATGTCCATGGGTGGATGAAAAGACAGTGTCCTAAAGTATCTGTCAATATATAAATATACTTGGGTGACTAAGAAAAATAGAGTCGTTCCTTTGCAAGAGCAGAGGAGAGGAGCATGAGGCAGCCTTTGGGAGTGTTTCGAGTGGCTACACGATGGGAAACACGAGCAAGAATGCCCATAGAAGTGTTATTTCCCAACTGGAAAGAACCCAAATGACCCTTAACAGTACATTAAGGATATATAATAAGTTATATAATAGTCTTAAGCATAATGTGTGGAAATTAGCTGTACCTGTAGGCAATAACAGGAATAAATTTTACAATGTTGAGTGAAAGATAAAAGCCATTTGTTAAAAAAAAATTGCAGACTTTGACCCTAATTCATAACAAGTTCAAAAATTGTCAAAACTAAACTATAGCTTTGGAAGTAATAAATTGATTAAGTTCTCAGAGGATTAAGCTAGAGCAGGGGAAGTTGAGAAGAAAGATTGGGGCATCTCTCTTTTGGCACTGCACTTGACATATCATGTAAATAACACCAGCACTTACTGGCTTTGTGGTTTCTACCCTTTTTTGTGTATTTACATTCTGTGCATTTTTCTCTGAGCTGCTCTGCTGTAATAAAAGAGCTAGAAAATAGAGAGTTAAAAGACCTGTAGCTACTAAATAAGCTCCAATATTATGGGTATGTTGTTTAAAAAACAAACAAAAAAACCTGTTTATAATACTGAAATTAATTTTTCATAAATTTCCTTTGCATTATTTTTCCATATGAGAAAATTTCCCCTTTATGTTGTAAATATGTTGTAAGGTTTAGATTGTTTTCATTTTAAAATTTAGAAAGGTGTACTTTTAAATTGAGATGCATCCGTAAGCTTCCTTAGCTTTCTGATGATTTTCTGGGAAAATGAAGAGTTCATGATTCCTTAACAGGTGACAGCAAATTCATTGGTAAAATTTGACCTCTTCATTACATTACATCATTGTAAAAAGTACATTAAAAAAAATAAAAATAATAAAAACCACTAAGAAAAGAATTATGGGAAGATCTTGGATATAGATTACTAATCAGTAATGTCCACATTGAAATGATGTAGACTAAATATGATTATTAATTTTTGTAATAAATATTTCAAGTCTGATATAAAAAAAGGTGAAAAAAATAAAATTTGACCTTTTCCCTTTTTGGATTTTTTATTTGCAGCAATTTAGTTATTGATACCAATTTTTCTGAGTTAGAATTTGTCACATTAAGAATGAGCTAGGTCTATGATTTATCTTTTCAACTTTCAATAAGAATCATATCTGTTGGGGCCTCCCTGGTGGTGCAAGCGGTTGAGCGCCACGCTGTGAAGCTGTCCACAGCCTCTGCAGTACCAGTTCGATCCCCGCCGGCTGAGGAGCAACCCACATGGCACGGCAGACCTCTCCTGTCTTGCCCACTGTTCCCCTCAGCAGTGTATTTCAGTCAGTCTGCCTGTTCCGCCCCCAACTCTGTCTCTGGAGAATGCTTTCACCCTCCTGCACATCTGGCCTGTATTTGGTTCTTATATAAATATATAAATCTTAAAAAAAGAATCATCTATTAATCTTCACTCCTAGTTTTCACTGAAAATACTCATCTCTAAAAGTTTTAAGTAATATATTCATTATATAGTTTTGTTCAAATAGATTAACATATTTGCATATCTCAATTCTCTTTTCTAGAGAAAATCTCTCCATGAAAACAAATTGAAGAGACTGCAGGAAAAAGTAGAAGTCTTAGAGGCAAAGAGAGAAGAATTGGAAACAGAAAATCAGGTGTTAAAGAGGTAATGTGCTTATATGTACAAATACTCCATGTGTATTTTTTTTTGCTACCTAGAACTTTGTCTTCTTTTAAAATACATATTTAGGAGAACTGTGCCCCCCATGGTCTTTCAAACCAGAAACCTCTAACACATTTCAGGTATTTGTATTACAGTTGATATGATAATAATGTCCATTGTTTGACTTTGGTACAGTAACTGATTTTGGTAAGCAGGAGTAGTATGAGTTCTTGTGCTGAGAGGAGAGTTATAGCGGTTGTGTAGGGCTTAAGATTGAGGCTACAACTTTGAAGATAAGTTTTCAATTTCTTGGTGTGGAAGAATATTATTGTTCTCTAGCTTCTGTTTTTTCACTTATATGTAAGTATAACTAATAATCTGCATTGTCAGCATTTTTGAGCAGAACAGATTTGCCATACTAAATTAGTGGTAGTGGTGGTGTACAAGCCATTGATTCAAGTTAATAAAATTGTTTTAAATTCGGCTAATTTGTGGTAGGTTTTAGCATTTACATAGCATCAGATTTTTCTGTAATGGTAATTGTCTATAATACCAAGCAGTTATGTTTTAAGATGTGCACTGATTTATTACCAAAATGTGAATAGGTATTTCTTAAGCACACCCATGATGTTTCTAGACTGGATTAAATGACACTGTTATCATACCCTATGCAAAGTAAGCTTCCAAATTCATTCTAAAACAAATTTCAACTTTTCTTTCATAATCATTAATTCTAAAGTATTATAAGTTCAAGAATGGGCAGCAATGACACAGATCATTTACAACTTAGAGGGTTTTGAAATTATATCTGATTAATGATTGATCGCCAGGAAATTAATTTCCAAAATGATGGTCTGTGAAAGCCTGAAAGGGTAGCTTTTTTATCCATGTAGTTTTTTTCCCTAAAGTTGGATGGTTTTACCTTTGTCATTAACTACTTTAAAAATTATGTTCATCAATATGAAAGTCCATGTATTTTACCATGTTTCACCTCTAACAATGGTAATTTCTTAAGATTGAATCCAGTATTTTATTAGGTTGCTTCTGTAAAATAAGGCATCCTTTTGTCTTTAAGAGTCTCCTTTGAGTTTCAGAATTCATGGGCTATGGTAGTAGAGTAGAAATGAGAGTGAGGGAAAGTGGAAGTATCAAAAGATATTTAATATTTCATTTGATTAATTGGCAAATAAAAGTTTCAAATGAACTGATAGCCTGGCAGTTCTAACAATAATAAATATAAGATGCTGTTTCTCTTTATCTTTTTATGTACAGATTTTTTTTATATAGATAAATCTTATAACTTAGGAATTCTCTTCCAACTTAAAATTATGTGAATCATACTGTTGTTCGATAAAGTATAACTGTATTAAAGACAGGAAAACTTTTCTTTTTAAGACAAAATGTTCCATTTGAAGAATATACAAGACTGCAAAAAAGACTGAAGGATATACAGAGAAGACATAATGAATTTCGAAGTTTAATTTTAGTTCCTAACATACCTCCAGTGGCATCCATCAACTCTGTTAACTTCCAGTCATCAACCATGGTTCCAGGCATGGAACTATCCTTTCCACCTCATATGCAGGTATAAGTATTAATTTTAGAGGGTGAAAAGGCAAATATTTCTGTAGTTTTTTCCAGTTAAATATAAGGTTAAAAAACTATAATAAAAATTTTAAAAATTAAAAAAAAAAACACTAAATGTGAATTATTAGTGGTCAGAATTCATCTCAGACTTAAATGACATGCCCATTTAAATACAGTTAGACTTAACTCTTTATCAGAGAAATTTGCTGAGAAGCAAATTTGAATCTTTTCTATCTTGCAGAGATGGTGCTGGAAATGAAATCTCCTGTTGGGCAATAGAAAAGAAATTTGATAAAGTCTTTGAGGAACCTAGAGTTTAAAGCTCACTTACATAATACTGAACACCTACTAGTGCATTGCACTACACATTTTCCATAAAAATGTTTATTTAATCCTAATAAATGTTTATTGAAGGAATGCATTATTCTTCCCAACTTACAGATGAGGAAACTGACTTAGAAGTGAAGTGACTTGTATAATGTCATAGCTAATAAGTAGCAGAGTTGCTTCAAATCTAAATCTGATTATAAAAACCTGGGCTCTTTTCTGCTGTAGTACTTATTGCTGTTTTAAAGGCACAAAATAGATGGATTAATTTTAGAAGATAAAACTATTATGTTTTACAGTGTTAGCACTGAAAATTTTAGTCACTGAATTGCACCTCAAAGCCAAGTACTTTGTTTTTTATAAACTGCTACTAAACTCCAGTCTTGTTAGAAATGGCCACAGAAGTACATCTAGGCTGAATTAGTATTTCTGATTGACTCCCTGGTGAATTGTACACCTAGAGAAGAGCAGGCTGTGGGTTTTGCTAAAGGCTAGGGCCTGAGGCAGGAGAGAAGTAAGGACTGAATACTTAGTAAGTAGTCTAGCCCATGCTGCTGTGTTCTTAGACTGCTAAAATGGTTGTTCTTTCCTTACCAAATGTCACAAGTTTGACTAAAGGCAAAAGGAGGCTGCTCTCACCGGTTTTTCTAACAGTCTGTCTTGCTGTGCTTTCTCTGCATCATTTTAAGGAGGAACAGCATCAAAGGGAACTTTCGCTACTTCGTAAAAGACTAGAAGAACTAGAAACAACACAAAGAAAACAACTAGAGGAACTTGGATCTCCTGGGGAATGATGTTCTTGGAGAAAAGGCAGATCAGAGGAACGAAATCAGTGACTCAGTAAAGCTTGAAGATTTAATGTATGTGGCATTTAGATACTTTACTACAGTTTGCCAAAATGCTTCAATGTGCCTCAAGAAAAGGTACCAGCTAAATGCTGTATCGCATGAAGGTGGGATTTTAGGATTATACCAATGACAAGCATTAAAAACCGATTCAGAGATATTTAAAGTAGTGACAACTATTTGAGAAAGTAAAATAAGTAAATAAAAGAACTAGTTAAGGAATCAAGGTTTAAATTTTCTTTTTGTTTTGGGTGGGTGAGTGGGGATGTATTTTGCCTGAAGTGTGCCCAGGTAGAGATGCTTGGCAATAATAGGATCAGTTAAAGTTTTCACATACACACACTATAATTATTAAAAATAAATGACAAGAGTCAGCATAGAAAATTAAAAATATATATTGACTACAGAATGCTACCTTTTCTAAAAGCTATGTGCACATAAGTTATTAAAAAAATTAATAAATATTTTTCTATCTATTTTGCCTTGTGTTTAATTTTATTTCAAACATACAGTGTATATTTAGCAATGTAGAAGATCTCACTGATTTTGGCTTTGTTGAGTTAGAATTAAATAAAGTACAAATAATTGAATCCTGTGGCTGTATTAAAAAAGGGCCATTCATCGTAAAACTTGAACCCAGTGGGGTCCCTTTAGAAGTATTTGTTAGTATTTAACTTTGCCTCCCACTGTTTATGATCTAACCAAATAATTATAAGTATTTTATTTCTGTGCATTCCTAAGTATGCCATCACTTGCTTTTTTATGTAATATCTTTTAGAGAAATTCTGCTGGAATAACTTCATGTCAACAGGACAAAGCTCAAGAAGTCTTCGCAGTCAAAATCCCAGGTTAATAGTGGAGGCCAGGAATATAACTGAGCAGCCCTTAGCATCATTTAGAAGAAACTAGGTATATTTTCTGTATGATAGAACTGCTTATTCAGAGTATACAGTTACACTTTCTTCGTGAAAAATAATTTCCATGGAGCCACATAGAATTAAAAATTCTTATAACTAGAAAATTTGAAGGAAAAAAACAATCGGCATTTACATCAAAATGTTTATTTTTGGATATAGACATTTAAAACATTCATCTCCAAGAACAGCTTCAATCAGGTATACAATAAGAAATAGACTTTAAATTCCTAATACGGAAAAGGTAACACAATTTTTAAATGCTGCTGTAGACACTAGTGTTAAGGAAAAAAAAGTTTAGAAATGGTTTTGCACCAAAAAAATATGCAAAGAAACTTGAAAATAGAAATTGTTTGCCATTTGTTTCTCTGGTTGCTGTTTAATATAGACCCCAGTGACTGATTGTCTTCAGCACACATCTAATTTGGCCATTTAGTATGTTTGGCTAATGCGGTCCATAATATGATCTAGATAGTGCTTTTCACTGGAGGATTGACAAACACGCTACATACATTAGTGAATCTTCACACCACCTCAGTGAGGTAGGTTAGAAATATTATACAGAAATTGAGGCACAAAGAGGTAAGTGACTTGCCCAAAGTTCCCAGCTTCATAGTCCCTGGAAGAGGAGGTAAGTCTTCACGCTGGACTCATGTGCCAGAGATCTGGACAGGGACACCCTCGTGTAGCATTTACTAAATACTTAGATAAAGCTGTAGCTGATCCTTTGCGTTTTCTTAGCATTTCTGCATCCTAAAGAAGGGGAAGTCTTTTGGGCAACTCTCCTACCCTTGGCTCCCAACTCTCCTGTTATTCTTCTTTTAGGAATGCCTTCACATCAAGACTACTGGCCTTAGATGGGGACCAGGCCTTTCACCTTTATACTTGTAAGTAACCTATTTGGTACTATTTTCGAGGTGTGTCCTTTGGACAATGGTGAAAGCGGCGGGATTAGGAAGAAGGTGCCTGTCAATGTTTAATTGCTAATTTTTCTGATCAGTTTGTTGAGGAAGAAAAAGAATTGCATTTACCTAAGACAAATTTGCATTTAAATCCTGATAGCTCATACAGTGTTTGTAAATGATTTCAAGGAATGTGTGATTAATGTCTTATTTGCTACTTGAAAAAATTTCTTTATTTGATAATTGGAGCACCAAGGGTAAAAGGTGCCACAAGGAAAGTTTGAGAGTTGCCAATTATACTTTTTACTTCTGATTTTAATAGAAAGAAAACACAGTGGTATTAAAATTGGTCATGAGCAGCAAAAATTCAGGAATAAAAAATCAGCAATAAAAAGACTACAGTATAACTGGATAGGGAATTCTTTAAAAAGAAAGGCATGAATAAAATGGGTATTTTTAATTCTCCTGCAAGGAATACTTTCAAAAAGTACATAGTAAGACTAAGATACCAAGTTGTATACTAATATTTTTTCAGGCCTTGGGCCTCAAATATATATATGTTCATATATAGTACTCCAGTGTGAACAGCAATTTCATGAAATGTAAAATGTATCTTTTTTTTTTTTTAAATCACAAGTATTTATAACCACAGGTTTCACCAGAAATCTAAAGCAAGGAGATTCTACCATGTAAGTGTAGGATTAGGGAAATGAGTTACTCTTCCCAGATAATTGTGACCAATTTTTTTAAAACAATTTTTTTTTTATAATAGCCCAACACATCCACTATCAATGAAAAAATAAAAAGGAACAGACATAAGGACAAAGATTATGGGTAAATATTGCATTTAAACAAAGCCCACTCCTCCTTGCTTTAGAGCTCCTTATCGAGATGGAGGTGTTTGATGGAGTGCAGTTGATGACCACTGAAAAACACGAGCCCTTTCAACAATGTTGCAACACTGTTAGTTTTTGGTTTAAAAACACACACACACTCACAAATGCTAAGTGTACACACTACCAAATTCTGCGGTCAGCTTTTCCAAGAACTACTGGGGAAAGTTTCGATGTTGCAAATCCTCGAGGTTGCCCTAACACCCCCACCTTGTTTCCAAATGACTCATTTCACATTATTTTTTTCCTTTGATCATTGGCAGTGTCCCTTTTCTGCAATGGTACAGTGTAGTCACAAGTGCTACATAGCTTTTCAAAAAAAACCACTTATATCATTGTGCTTAAGTGGAGACTGTAGTTACAATACTGACACTTGCTTACTGGCCCTGTATTCTCTGTAAACAAGGAGGCTGTTCACAACAACCACGTCAACTATTTACAGAAGGGTTCCCACAGTATACACACAGGCACAATGGTTGGTATGCTTTCTGAAAGCTGTGCATGTGCCTTGGTCTCTTCAAAAGACAGTGCTCAGAGTGGAACCTATGTGCAAACTTAAAAATTAACGACAAAGAGTAGCTCAAGCAGCCATTTTGCTCCCAAGTCGTCTGAAGAACTTTGCCAGATTAAGCCAGGCCCCAGAGTGCTCACATCCACTTGCATTTCTTCTTTTCATCAAATAAGACTTTTACATGCAAGAGTTGTTTCTGAGCTTCTTCCAGCCCTCGTTCTCTTTCTAGTTTATTTAGAATCTGTTGACAATTAGAACAGTTATTTTAGATATTGTGGTTTTAGCATTAGAATTTTTTTTTTTTTTTGCATTCCTAATGCTGTGAGTGGTAAAATCTGTATGAAACAGATGCCAACATTTTCTTCGATCATTTACATACTCACTTTGCAAGTTGTTTTGCTAAGTCATTATCACAGGATCAACAACACTTTGGCTTAAAATAGAAGCTCCCAAGAAATACCAACTATTTGCTTACAAATATGGGGCCAGACTTCCAAGGCCCTGTTTTATGCATTATGTCACAGCCATTCCAAGCACAGCAAGCATTCGTGGGCAGCCAACATGCAGGCAAGTATTTCTTCTTAAATGCAGCAGGCAAGGGTATCCTGGTCAGAGATCAATATTTCTCCCCCACCCCCCTTTTTCCCCTCCCCAGTGCTTCCCTCCTAACCCCTGACCCCTGAAAGAGGGATGCTTATCATGTTAAGGAGCTCATTGCCTCTACCCTACCTTAGTGCTTCACTTGATCTTCAAGTAGCAAATGGAATTGGTGAGCTATTCTCACCATTGACATGGATAGCCTGTCCCAGCATGACTGAGTTGGGGGGAATCAGGGAAGGGGAATTAACATATATTTGGAAACAGCGCATCTGATGATTGTGTCTGTGTGAATTCCCAAAGAAAAAAATCCAGATTAAGGAGAATTAATCATAAAGGAGAATGATTTATTGAAATAGTTGCTTAGTTAGAAATGTCATAATTTCATATAACTTGAATACAGAATCTAGGCGATTTAACAAGCTTAGCTTTCATTTTTAGCAGATGACAAACAAGCATAAGCTGGCCCTATTTAATAGGACCATTACTTACTCTTTTTTTATATCTATATAAATATTTACATCATTGTTCATTTTTGTACAATGTATGCTTTCTTCTTTTACTACTTACTTTTTAAAGTTAACTTGAGTCGGTGTAGCCATAGGCCCCAGCCATTGATTCAAATGTAAATTTAGGCTGGTACAAAGGTGGGCAGCATGGTGAAACTGTAAGAGGGGCAGCCATCTGCAGGGTCTGGCTTGGTGCCAGGTTCCCCCATCTCTACAGGCTTCCTGGCCACCTGGGATGCCAGAGCTGGACTCTGACCTATACAATGCTTTTTTAATCAAGTCCTGGTTGGCTGATTCATGATGTTATTTAAAATCTTACCTCATCAAAATATTTTACGATGTATTTGTAGATTTCCGTCAAGGCCACTTCTTCATTAAATTCATTTTCATGTTTCTTAAAAAAAGAAAGCTTGTTAAGAGCTTCTGAAATCACTGTTTAAAAAAAGTAATCAACTATTTCTTTCTTACAATACCTTAGATTCCTGAGTTAAGAATTCTTCCATTTCTGAAGATGACAATGGAGGCAAATCCCTGATTGCTTTGTAGTAAGATTTTACTTCCTCTTTGTAGGTTGGGATATCCTTGGCATAGAGAAGTTTATTAGTTGGTGCTTCCTGGGAAAAAAAAAAAAAAGGAGTAAAAATCATGGGGGAATTATAACTGTCAATATAGCTGATGGACCTCCACTACCAGTATCACACATCCTGGTGACAAGACTTCATGCAGTAGGCCTTAATAAATGTTGTTGACTGAATGACTGACTGTTATCCAGATAGTTCTGGTGAGTCACTGTTATTTTCAGCCAGATTAAATGCTAATATATTCTGCCTTTCTCTCATAAGAGAACTAAAATTATTATTTTTGCATGATTTTGAGTTACTGTAACAATGGAACTTATTTCAATCATAGTTTATTACTAATGGTTGTAAAAAGCCTGAATTAAAACATTTGCTTTCATTCTCACCCACCAGTGAATTTTGGCATTTATAAAAAGACTTGATTGTAGGTCTGACTGAGTCCTTTATATAACTATGAAAGTGGTAAGTAATTGGCAGGTTTTTTTTTCTTGTCCCTTTTATTAGATTATAAAGATCATCCAGTGTCCTCAAGGAAGCATGTGGTCATTAGTATTGGTGGCTCTGATGTTTCACTAGTTCCTGGAAATTTGAATATTTTCATGTAATGATACTAAAGCGAAAATCCTAAGTCATTTCGGCTAACAAAGTTTTAAAATTTTCTCCTCAGGGAAGGGAGATAAATTAATGATAGGATTAATGTCCTGGTATCTATGGCTTGAATAATAGCCTTTCCAACCAATAGCTTGATGAATCATTCTGAAGCAAGCTTAGATTACTCATTTTTTTTCACTTGTCAAGTTTAAGTAGAACTCACAAATCCTGCATTTATTCAATAAAGATTTATTTAGCCACTGCACTGTGTGTAAATGGTAAAGATAGGTACCTGCCCTTAGGAAGCTTACAGTCAATCAGGTTGGGGAAATGGATGTTCTGAGATTATAATTACCTTTACTGTGTTCTTGAGGATTAATTGAAGTATACCAACAACGTAGTAACTCATCAGCAAACATTTTTTTTTACTATGACTAAGTATTTAAAGATCTTTCAGTGTTTAACATTCTTCATTGTTAAAGTGCTGTGGGAAATACATCAGGAAAAAGTGTACAGAGTACAATCTATCCTCTCTCCACAGATGCAAATACGATATAGTTACATATAAATGGTTGGCTCTGTATGGGCACATTTATTTCTTGTATTATATGTAATACAGAGATGATTTAAAGTATATTGGAGGACTGCATAGTTATATACAAAAAAAAAAAAACCCAAAAACAAAAAACCCACCATTTTATACAAGGTCATTGAATGTTTGCAGATTTTGGTATTGTAGGGACGGGAAGACCTGGAACAAATCTCCTGTTTATACTGAGGGATGGTTGTCTCATCCCCTCAGTATTTAACTGCCCTACAGCTTTTGTTACACCTTAGGAATTCATGTTTGTTGAATGAGTAGGATTTTACTAGACAGAGGGGTCATGAGATAGGAAGTGATGTGAAAAGAAATTCTTTGGTAGGTAAGTTTTGGAAAAGTACTTGAGACACAGTGAAAAGGAAAAGTTGGGGGATGAGTCAGACAAAGGAGCATAGACCATGTTTAGAAGGCATGATGAAGGGATAGGTCAGAGGAATGAGAAGGGACAGAAACATTGTAGAGAAGTGAACAGTTAGGGGGGGTGTCTGCCTTAAGATACTTGGCAGTAGTAGGAAAATGAAAGTAAAACCAGGTTTGTTTTGCAGAAATAGTGAGATTTTCTAAAATTGATGAGTTATATTTTAGAGTTCTTAAATAAAATCAAAGTTATGTCAAAGTTTGCATTTTTATATTTCTGTGTTTTCTTGATTATAAAATGACAAACTGGTAAAATTAGATGTTTCAGGCAAGATTTTCTTCCCCATAAGTAATTTGTTATGTTCAAATAGACTTTTAGATATAGTTAGATGGAATTTGGGCGAATTTCAGCATTTTGGATTTATAGACTTCTTCTGTGGAATAAAGAAAATTTACACTTTGTGGCAAATATTTTCCAAAACAGAGTTATGCAAAGTGTGGGAATAAGACTATTTTGGTTTTTGAAAGAAAAAAAATAGATTTTAAAGAAATGCAAGTTTTCGATCACTTTTCACTTGATATGGTTTAGAACAATTGCTTATTTTACTATCTGACTGTTTTTAAAAGAGTCATAGGAGTCCATACAAAAATTTCTAAAGCTTACCTTCCCTAGTTGCTGCTCTGTGAGAGAAAATGCATCCATGAATGCCTGGGCAATCACTGACAAACAGCCGTCTATGTGTGGTGTCTTCTTAATGTCAAAGACAAACTGAGGGTTCTTCAGGATGTTTACCCAGAAGCGAAGAGGAAGGCTGTTCCAAGAGAGAGCGCATTCATATGAGGTAGCTGCTCTGTCACAGTTTGTAAACAGTTGTCTTTGTTCTTGTTATTGGCATATGTGAGTCTACTTTCCCAAACATAACAAGCAACAGATGGTAGCACCACTCAAAGAGAACAAGTAGTTGTTAAACTGACCAACCCTACTGAAAGAAAGAACTAGAAAGAGGTTAAGTCTGAAAGTTGTGATTGACAAGAATTTTTCCTAGATGATTAATGGATGGTTACCAATGAGAAAAATCTCATCAGATTTCCAGAACCTAACTTTTCATGCCTTTTAAATGCCTACTCTGACCTAAGTCATCATTTCCCATCATCCCCAGTTCCTGACAGTTAATTTTTCCACAACTACCAGCACTTTTCTTCATCCAGAGTCAGATCATGTCTCCATCTTACTCAGTCCAGCGCCACTGGCCTCTCATGCCAGGCAGGGTTTGTGCTTCAGGACTTTTGCTTTTTGTTGTCCATCTTCCCCTAGGTAATCGACTGGTTTCGGACCTTATCTCAAGACCTGGCTCAGATATCATCTCTGTGAGGCAACCCTGTCCTTTCCTACTCTGTCCGTATATATACCTATACTGCAACTTGTTATTTATGATCTGTCCATACCTATTAGAATGTGAGCTCTGTGAAAACATAGTAACCAACCAGACAAAAATCTGTGTCTTCAGTATCCAGTAATGCCTAGTATATATTAAGTACTGAATATTTAAATATGAACTTGGGAATTAGTCTTTTATTTCTACGTTGGCCTACCTAATTACCTCTGTCATACGGCTGCTGGGCTTGTCATAGCTTTACTGCCCTGGCTACCATCCCTGTTTGGAAGCGACGATCTTCATAGTAAAATGGTAGCCTGCAGTGCCCACGCTTAGTATGGGAGTAGCAAGGGATAGAACACAGAAAGGGAGTGAGCCAGAGTAAAGAGTCAGAATAGACTGGAATTAAATGAGACATGATTAGACTTAGAGCTTAGGTTATATTGCATTGAATTATATCTGAGTTAATTAGCTCATACATAGGGTATTTCAAATAAGCGTTAACAAGCTGTTTCTTTACTAAGGAAGATATTTAGAATGAATACATGCTTCAGTTTAAGGTAAAATGCTTAAACACAATAATTTGGCTAATTCCCAAGATACCAACTATGACATTTCATCAAATAAAAGCAGAAATTTTGTATACAGAATCAGAAAAAACAGCTTGGAGACTGCAAAGTGATTAATTCTTTGAGGGACAAGTGTCTTTCTTTTCTGATGGAAGGTTGTATAATATGACCCCCCAATTTTTCATTCTTTGCTAGTTGAGGTAAATTTGTTTAAACAATCCATACAAAGTCTTTTACATGCATTAAAGATAGTTTAAGGAAAGGGTTCGTGGTGTAGGATGGTTTTGTTGATTGCTTAAAAACAGTAACAAGAGATTGCTTTGACATGATAGCTTACCAGGCTAATATCTTCTGTGTGTTTATCCCTCTAGCACTGCCCCCCTCTTAGCTGAGATTCTGTCCCAGATTCTTGAAAACAGTAATCACCTACATTCTCACCTGTTTGTTTTCCAAATATGTACAACATCGGGATCTGTGATTTTTTTGTTTTCAGCCTGGGCATCCAAGAAGTCAAAAAAGTATTTTATAGCAAATGGGGCTCTGCTGTTAGGTAAACTCCAAATGCTTCTAAAAAGTTTTTCAAGCACAGAGTGAATTGCCACCTGGAAAACAGAGAACATACTTGATAATTTTATAAAATAGGGTAACGATTTTGAAAACATTAGGAAATGATGTGCAAAACAGAAAAACAAGCTGAAAAGGAAATATGTAAAATTGAAGCCAACACCCATAGTGTGGGACAAAGGTCTGAAAATTCTATGCCCAGATTTAGATTTGGTTCATAAGCTTCTTGCTGACAACATGTAGTCAACAGGAGGCTGTTATCTTAGAAACGTCAGTTCTAAGACTGTATATATAAACCAAGAAGCCAGGGTATTTGACTTTTTGTTGCGTTCAACCTGAAAAGACTCAAATGATGTTTGCAGAATTTTTCCTACTGTATACATTCGATCAGGGTTTTATCATGTGCTTTCTGAAACATTTGGGTGTTTGACAAAAGCTAAATAGGCAGAAGTCTGTGGGACAAATGAGAAAACCAGGAGGCTCTGGCTGTCCTCTAAGAGGTTAGTAGTAACTTCTAAACAAGACAATAATATGAAGCAAGCCAGCCCACTAGGAGACTAGGGCGTGTACATAATAACATTGTCATTTCAGGAAAAAACGGATCACCACAGACTTCTGTTAAAAACCAGGTAAAGTGAAATTTGCTCCCAATTTGGTATTCCACTGGCTTTCACATCTGACACTTTTATATGTGAAGAGAATTCTTACTTGTGGAATAAAAAAAAAAATACTAGGTTTATAGTTACTGACCCCCCCCCCCCATTTTATTTGCCAATCTGTACTGACAAGTAAACAAAAAGGAATAATTATTATAATTAAATAACAATAGTGAAACAGTGGGTAAAGGAACCTGGGAAATCCTGATTGAAGATGCGATAGTAGAAATTTGTGAAGTGCTGTTATCTCTGCAGTTTATAACAAAAAAGAGAATAGGAAGTGTTTACAATTTAAACTTTCATTTTGCTTTGCTGGAAGGTACAAGGGATTTGTAACATTTTCACACTTGGATGGAAATTAAGTCAAACACATCATATACCCCCAAGGTAGCCATAAAAGCACTCCCAGAACAGTAAGTGTACCTTGGTCGACAGCAGCTTTGTCAGATACATTTCTTTTACTTTGAACTTGTGTTTCCCTCTATGTCTCTTTCCTTGCACATCTTGGAATGCTTCTGAATCTGGTAAAATCTAAAGGGAAGACAGAGTAGAAGTGTTACCCAAGGAGACTATTCACGCTATAGAAGGCATCCAATTCACAGCAAGCCTGAACTCACCAAATGGCAGTGGTCATCCGAGTATTCCACATCTGAATGCCAGAGAAAAGAGATAAAACAGTCCATTAAAAAAAAAAAAAAACATGGGCAAATTGACCATCTTATAAAACGCCCCATTTGTGTTATAAAACAAAGAGGTTACTTGAGCTCTGTATAGAGCTGCAGCTTAAGAACAGTGTAAAGACAGAATGAGCAAGGGACTGGAGTGGGCAACAGGTTCCCCAGTTCTTAGCGGTATTAGAGGCTGAATGATCACTTGTTGGGCTTGGGGTTGAAGTTTATGCCTTATTCATTTACCAGATTTACCTGGAACACCTACTGTGTGCCAAGGACTATAGCAATAAATGAGACAGACCTTGTTCTCACTTAATATCCTAACCCGTGAGGGACTTCATACTAACTAAATACACAACTATTTACAATTGTGAGGAACTGTATAAGAAATAATGAGGAATGGATTTTTTTCCCGGACGGTTTCTCTGTGATAGGGTTCTTGGAGTCAAACCTAAATGAATAGAAAGCCAGGCAGATGGAGGCAGGGGAGTGGTTGTGCAGGCTGTAAGGTGGAGCAATTAGGAGAGCAACCTAGAATGAGAACAGTATTGGGAGAAATGTGATTGTAAATAGAGGGAAAGAGGAATTAAGGCACTGAGTATAGTTTTGAAGAAGACACCAGAACATCTTGGATTGCTAATAGAAAAAATACAGTACATGAAGAGGGATGGATAAAAGGAGAGGTGATTACTGATGGTATGACTTCTCAGAAGGTAGGAAAGGTTGGTGGAATCCAAAGCACAGGTAAGAGACTGCCCTTGAATGGCAGGACAGCCATCAGCGTCAGGTAAAGAGGAAGACTTGGGACAGTAGGTTAGGTGTTGATGGAGTTCTGCTTTTTCTGTGGGATAAAAAGTGAAGTCATCTCTTCAAACTATACTACAAAGCCATAATCATCAAAACTGCATGGTATTGGAACAAGAACAGACATACAGACCAATGGAATCGAATAGAAAATCCAGAAATAAATCCACAGATTTATGGTCAACTAATCTTTGACAAAGGAGCAAAGACTATGCATTGGAGCAAAGAAAGTTTGTTCAATAAATGGTGCTGGGAAAACTGGGTCGCTACATGCAAAAGAATGAAGCTTGACCACTACCTCACACCATACACAAAAATCAACTCAAAATGGATTAAAGAACTAGACATAAGACCTGAAACCATAAAATACATAGAAGGAAATATAGGCGAAACACTACGGGATTTGCACATCAAAGACATCTTTACAGACACATCACCCAAAGCAGTGATAGTGAAGGCAAAGATAAACAGCTGGGACTACATCAAATTAAAGAGCTTCTGCACAGCAAAAGAGACAATAACAAAAACAAAGAGAAACCCCACCAACTGGGAGAACATTTTTGCACCCAACACTAATGATAAAGGACTGATCACAAAAATCTGCAAAGAGCTGATGAGACTCAGCAACAACAAAGAAAATAATCCAGTCAAAAAATGGGCAGAAGAGCTAAAAAGAAACTTCTCTGAAGAGGAAATGCAAATGGCCAACAGACATATGAAAAAATGTTCAACATCACTTGCAATCAGGGAAATGCAAATCAAAACTACCATGAGATACCATCTCACACCATTGAGAATGGCACATATTAAAAAAACTAGCAACAACAAATGTTGGCGAGGATGTGGAGAAAAAGGAACTCTTCTGCACTGTTGGTGGGAGTGCAAACTGGTCCAACCACTATGGAGAGCTGTGTGGAGATTTCTGGACCTACTAAACATAGAGCTTCCATATGATCCAGCAATTCCACTCCTAGGTATTTACCCAAAGGACACAGAAACATCAATTCCAAAGAGCACCTGCACCCCTATGTTTATAGCAGCACTGTTTACAATAGCTAAGCTTTGGAAACAACCCAAATGCCCAAAAGTAGATGACTGGATCAAGAAGATGTGGTACATATATACCATGGAATATTACTCAGCATTCAAAAAAGATAAACACATGCAATTTGCAGCAACATGGATGGCGCTGGAAGGGATCA